CCTTTCGCCTGCTCCACGCTTAATGAAACCGGTGGGGCCTGGGCCGAAGCAGCCGGGGGTCGCTGCAGGCTTGACATGCGGTGGGCCGAGGCGGGTGGTGGTGGTGGGAGAGAAACAGAGGCTCTAACTTCCACGCTGCAGGCTGGCAAGGGCTGCCGCTCCAGCGCAGGCAGGCAGAGAGACAGAGGCAGCCCCTCTCCTCTGCCTCCTCCTGCAAAGAACTCGGCAGCCCTCCAGGACCCTCCTCCCCCTCCCGGGCTTAGGAACCCGCCTCTCCTCTCTCCAACTTCCGGGCTGCAAAGCAGACGGGGTTTTAAATAAATAAATAAATCAGGGAGGATGGGCATAAAGTGGAATAGCCAGGCAAAGCCCTTCCTTTGTGGCTAAGGATTCCGAGATGAGCTCCCAAGCGGGGAGGAGGAGCCTTGAAGAGGAAGAAAATAAACGAGTTGGCTTCTCTGCTTTGCTTTTAAATGCACCCAGAGGGGTGCGTTTCTCCGTTTTCTTCCCTATCGCTGGTATGAGGCTCTCGCTGGAGGCTGGATGGCCTTTCTGGGCAGCTTGTTATTTACACACACCACACTAAATCTCGTGGGCTGTGGAAGCAATCCGGTTGCTGGAGTTTGCATAAAATGAGTCACTTCCCTTTAGTCTGATGATTGCGAAAACACCCCCAAATAAACGGGTAGGTTGCAGCATTGTAATGGATTACACGTTAGGAAATTCCTTGTACGCACGTTATACGCAATATTCCTAAAATTACCAAACAAGTTTAGGGATCCTGGTAGGGTTTCTTTTAAACGGAGGCTGCTATAGAAGAAAGCGCAGCCCTTTCGCACTTCCTAGGAAACCGAACAGATCGGCAACAGCCACCTTGCAAGGCAGGCTCGGATCTTTTTGGAGCGCCCGGCCTCGGCAAAGAAAAGCTGATAGCATAAAAACACTTCGCAGCCTTTTAATTTCTTACATAGATACATATCTTACTTTAACGAAATTTGGGAGGCTCTCCGCCACAGCAGAAAGCCTTCTAGACAAATACAAAAAGAGCTGAAGTCACTGAGATGGAAGAGCGCGCGGCATTCACCCACGGAGAACAGAACACGTTTCAGGTGTCGGTGAATAAAATATGAAGGCGCATTCTGTCCCATCGCTGGCAGTATAAAAGCAATTATATAAAACCAGAAGACCCCCACCGTATTTCCTGCGGGAATTATGTATTTATTCCTTAAAATTTAAGTTTTGGGCATCGTAAAAGCCGTATGCTAAAGAGATCGTTTTTTATTGGCCAGAGTTTTAAGACCACGCCCTGCCAATGACGCAACGGGAAAGGGGGAAGAACCGGAAAGGGGACTCCGAACTTTGAGACGGCCGGAAGGAGTTACAGTTGGCTTTTTCCGTGAGGAAGCCGAGCTGCTCTGGCCATATCGTTCCCTTTTTTTTTTGGTGTCTAAGTCAAGCGAAGCGGAAAAAGGATGGGAAAACAGCAAAATCATTTTTGGGGATCTAGTAGGTTGAGGTTTTTGAATGGGCTCTTCACGCTAGTGAATTTCTATGCAAGTATGGTGTAGTGTATGCAGTTTTATATACACGCTCCCTGTTTCTTGAGTGTTTCTAATCCTCTAAACCTGAGGACCTGCCCTATGAAGCATCAGCTTTACTTCATGCCGTCTCTTGCTTTGTCCAGAGATGCCTTTATCAGTTGTCACCTGTGGACAATTGTGCCCACTTGCAGCTGCATACTTATTCCACTTGAAGGACCTCTGACACATTCCCCTACATCAGGCCTGCT